TACCCCTCTGTCCCATTTCTTGCCTGGTATACGAGTTCTGTTGGTTTTGCTCTGAATACGACTAAAGGGTATGCTGGTCTACCCCCATGAAGTTTTTCATGCTGCAGTCAACAATTGTTTACTTTTTTTTGGTTCCTCACCAGATGTCCAAGCCACAGGATGTAAACACCTTGTAGTTTTCCAGCACATTCCGTGGTTCTTAAAGAACCCAGAGGAGGAAAATGAGTATTTCAATTTGGACGTTAACTTGCGGTTGCCAATGTTGGAGAAATTGCGCAAAGCTGGTAATTACTTAGAGTGTTATCAATATAAAATCATTTTTTGCCAGTTTTGTTATTCATTTTATAATTCTGTTCTTTGAACAGTTAAATACATGCATGAATGCCTTCTAGTTTTTAAGACGGTTTCAATCATCCCTCGTGGAACCTCATTATACTAAAAATCAGATGGTTCTGTTTTGTTGCTAGGGGTGCGCATTATTTTCTGCGGCCATTATCATCGCAACGCTGGAGGATTCTATAAAGACATGGAGGAAGTGGTGACGTCAGCCTGGGGCTTGCAGTTGGGCGAAGATAAATCTGGCCTACGTGTAGTCAAGGTCACGGAGGATTCTATTTCTCATCAGTACTTCAGCGTGGATGATATACCCCTTGAAAGTTAATGGAAGATGCTAGCCAAACCACCGCACGCTGCCTTACGAGCATTGCCAAAAAAGATGATTTGTTTCGAGAGAAGGCTGAAGTGCTGATGACATCACTCTTTGTTGCCGTGTGCACTTTCCCATCAAGTCAAGTGGGGCCTACCATCCACAGAGCACTACTGGAAAGCACACGTAAATGCAGTGTGGCGTCATCGGCACATTGGTCTGTTTGTTTTTGTGACACGAGATAGATTGCATGAACTTGTTTTTGTTAATTAAATGGAGCGTTATTGTAAATAAATTGAAAGGAATAGGCCTAATGGTACATACATATATAAGATTAGGAACGTTAATTATTCATTGTTTCTTTGTCGCTAGATTTATCACAGTAAGGTTTTGGTTATGACCTCATCCAACTTTTAGGAAATAAAAAACAGAAGTTAGAACCTTCTCATCACATCATCACGTGACAACTGGGTACCGACAACACAGCTCTGCATTTTGGTTCGTGCACGGCTTAAAACCCTACAGCCCATCACCGTTTTTTGTTGGAATCATTTAAGTGAGTGTAACATTTAAATTTCTTCCGCCAGGAAAACAAGCCATACCATTCCGAAAGGGTTCAGTTACCGCCCAACTCGGGGCCTGCCTTTTGTTGGCTTACAAGGATAAAACGACTTTGCTTCAATGTTAGTTCACGAGCGCGTTTGAAATTAAATGAAATATGAAACGCAAAGAGAATTAAAGTCATTCCTATATTTGTTTTTTATTATTTAGAAAATAAGTTCTCTTAGTATGAAAATGCAGACTGGCCTCGGTTTGTGCTTGTTTATCCATTTAATATGTACTTCGCTTCAACTGTAAAGATCGATAATAATTGTTTATTCTTGTTTGTGATTGATTCAGTATAAGTAGTGCAGATATGCAGGTCCCAGTTAAAAAGCCAGATTCAACTATACGATTCATGTTGTAGATTTCTGTTGCTGTTGAGGTCATCGGTTTTAAATGCTTCACCCAAACTTGTTTACCTGCAGAATCACATGAAATTATCATGTCCTAATTTGGCATTGTCGACATAATTTCATCATCGATAGCTAGTGAGCAGTAAGGGTACAATTGTAATACTGCATCCAGAAAAAGCAAAGCCCTGGTCATACTTTGTAATATTACGTGTCCAGACCTAACGCACAAATTCTTAATTCACAAATTACATGTTTTGAACATAATACCTTCATAGTAGGCCTATGCATCAGAGTTTGATTTGAGTACATGTACGCAAGATTTGCTAAAAAACAACGGTTGTACTGTTCACGTTATGCCACAATCAGAATACGTTTTATCAGAATTAACAAAATGACAGCTGCATGATAAATGTAAGAAAGCAAGGTGCATTTTGAATTCATTTCAGTTTTTGTGGGGGTCGGGGATAAATGCCCGTTGCGGCGTCCCTGTTCGTTTAATGTAAGATCAAATTTTATGGCACATGACAAGACGAATATAACTTCGTTTATTAGGCAAGGTTGTCGAAGCGAAGCGATTGAAACGTACATGTATCTCATAACTGGAATCGAAACTCCCTCAAAATAATGTAGTAAGCATTTGACTTTTGGACTGGCCGTATTAGCCTGCTGCGCACGCGTATCCCATATGTCTTGCAGCGATACTCTAGGATAGAAGCAATGGCATGCGGTGTCTCCATAAAGTCAGCAGACTCTCCTGCAAGTGGCGATAGGAGTTTACGGGACCAGCTAATGAAATGATGTCATCAATTTCTGTATTTCAAGTGACTCTCTTTACTGCATGTAAAATTGCATAGAAATATTGGAGAATGGAGGCCACAATAAAAATGCATTCAGACTAAGGGCGGATCCAGGAATTATTTGAGGGGGGTCAGCCCGGAGATTATTTTTTTTTAGTCTCATTTTTTTGCGGCAAGCGGAAATGATGCTGAAACATAACACGACATACTTTGTTTTAAATGGTATTGGTCACTTACTTCAGTGTTTTTATTAATTTTCCCATTTTTGAACCTTTTTTCGGGGGGGGATTTGGAGTCAGGGGAGGAGGTTTGAACTTGAACGGATACACATCAACAAATACACCAGAACATGCTGGTTGTTACACACTCAAAATTCCTTGGAAATTGAATTACACAAAGCAAGTGCGCAGGCACCACGTTATGTGCTTCATTGAACATCAAATAATGAGCCACAAGTGATATGTGGAACGTTTCCAAGGAAACCAGCCTTCCTTAAAAAGGCTTTTCTCACCGTTACCATTTATTTCCATGACAACAAAAAGATATGGTTATCGCGAGGAAAAGAATTTAAAAGCATTGGTTCACGGGTATCATATTGGTCTGTCTGTTACCTCGCAGGAGATTCAACGGTGACACTGTCATTCCATCGCAGACAGAATTTCTGGGAGTGGTCCGAAAGTCTGATATAGTTTACTAAAGTGCGTTTCTTCGTCGCAGTTGATGCACGATGTTTCAGGGGAACTGCAATATCATTGCTGGATTCCTTGCCTTGTGTCTTGAAATCGGAGTGGCTGCAGCATCAACAGGTGAGATCACTCTTCTTCCTTATCTTTGCATTAAAGAGCATATATAAAGCTGCATGCAGCAAACACGCGGATCTATATGCTTGTATCGATGGACTAATCATTCAAAAAATCGCTTTCACAATTCTGTCCACTATTTTTCTTGAACGCGATTTTTGGCGCTGCCAAAAAAGTGACGAAATCGTTTTCAAATGCCTGAAAATATGGCCAGTGTCTTTTCAGTGAATTACATCTCTAAGAATTGAATTGAAGGGTTTATTAATCAAACCATTTTCGCAGCCGTATGACTGAATAGCAGTGGTTCACAGTCGTAATAAATTAATTTCAAAATACCGCGTAGTGCTTACACACATATTTTCGAAAGGCACACTAGACACCATAGAGAAGAAATATATTTCAAAAAGCGTTTTGAGCCATTGCCCTACAAATTTAGATTAAATACAGTAAAACATCCAGGTGAACAATAAAATCAGGTAAGAAATAATGACAAGAGGGTTATCCAATTGTCAGAAAAAAATTACTTGAATAATAAGCTTTTACTGGAAGTTTTGAAAACTGGTTAGAATAATGACATAAAGGTAAGAGTATGAAAGATGATCGATTTGATGAAAAGACAGTACTAGAATTGACGAATACGGTATTATAAAAAGGCTGTAGCATTTACATATTCAGTGAACAACACCAAATAAGTAAATATTTTGCACAAAAAGTGGATGCTAGAAACAAGAAACCACATAATCTAGTTACATCAAACACATAATTATCTATACTGCACAGGTAATTACATGTATATCAAAAAGATGCAATTTACACGGAATGAGTATATTTATAACTGAACGTAGGTTTACATCAGATGTTAATTAATTAGTCAGATTAGGGCAGGACACTAGTCTCTCTGTTCTACACCGTAAGTCTCGGTTTGTCACCGTATTGCAGCTGACGCATTGAAACCTGCGATTCGGGTATAGCCAGTGTCTGATATTGATATACAGGCATTTCACGAACTTAGTGCAGAGTTGTTCTCTTCGCTCGCTCAGGGCTCTACGGCTCATAGCGATGCGAAGAACACTTCTGAATCATCTCGAGGTCGTTGCTTTGCCAGATCGGCACACAGTACATGTATACTCCAATAATGGACGAAGTCTTGTATTATATGGTCACTGGATCTTCGACTGGCAAGCAAATAACGTTCCGGTGCACGGATTACATATAGGATCATCCGTGAAGCTGTCTTGGTAATTTTCTGGAAATTGTTATCCCAGCGAAGATCGGACTAAATCATGGTGCAAAGCAGCTTTGCATTTCATTTCCTATGGGGCATTTTCATGCAGCCCTGTGAATTAGAGGAGGACCAGCTCGCAAGAATGAAAGTTTATCACCTCAATGAACTTGGATGAGCTAATGTTCAAACCACTGAACGGATACCATTTCTGAAGTCTGTTCAGGGCTCAGGATATCACACTTTCGTCCATGACCTTAAGGCTTCCATCGTAATACTGAAGCTAAAGATTAAATGCGTCGTTTACCATCGCAAAGAAGATTAATGGTCCTAGGGCGTGTCCCTTGCACTACGCCACTATTCGATTTAAATGATTCCGAGAGTTCACCATTACATCAGGTAACCTGCTGTGTCCCAGGAAGAAAATTTTCAATTTCAGTCCTCGGAATGAATGTCGGAAGCACACTCACCTAAAATCATGTGACACATGATTATTACTGAATTTTGCCCACAGCAATAATACTGAAGATGTTGCTTTAAACGTTCAATAAGTGAGATTATAATCGTTGGGGTAAATCTCAGGCGAGGGGGGCATATATCACCCACTTTTTGATGGGATTGCCTAAAGTCACTCACTTTTTTGAGGTTAGCAAAAACTTAAAGCATGTTGTGAAGAGTCTTTCGGGCTTCCCAACGATTACAATGCATCAAGTATCATTCAAAAAAGGAAACACAATTTTTAAAAGCCATAAATTGGCCATT